ATCTATCTATCTATCTATCTATCTATCTATCTATCTATCTATCTATCTGTTTATCTAATTATCTGTCTGTCTGTCTGCCTGTCTACCTGTCTACCTGTCTGTCTGCCTTTCTGTCTGCCTGTCTACCTGTCTACCTGTCTGTCTGCCTTTCTATCTGTCGTCGGTCTGTCTATCTATTTAATTATCTATTTATCTGGACTGAAGGGGGGTTTAGACAGACCTGCTTCAATGGGTGACATTTAAGGGCCTAAACATCAATATTCTTGTGGGGTTTCTAATGGAGGGCTATTAGTTGGATTTACTTGAAGTTACGACGGATTCATTTGAAGTTACAACAGATTCATTTGAAGTTACGGCGGATTCACTTGAAGTTGAAAAGATATGGTTTGTCCAGAACATCGTCGATCTTTGGCAAAATTGGATCTATATCTCAGGCTTTATTTGGCTAATGATTTGCAGACAGCTTACTGATTTTGTTAATGGCCATTCCGGATTAGTATATGTAATCGTTGTAGTACGCACTGATCACAAAATACAAATTACGAATAAGAAATGATGGACACGAAGTAAGTAAAGAATCACACTGGTACTAGCACGACAGTATTCCACGTGACCGGGACACTAGGAAGAGGCCACAAGAATAGCAGTTCGTTTATTGAAAGAAATCAAGGGGATAAATTATACGTACAAAACAAGTTCATCCAAGCCTCTGCCAATGGCGTACTAGCAGTTCCGGCGTTGTTCAGGTTCTGTTTGGGTCGCACGGTTTCTGATTGGTTGGTACAATGGGTCTATGGTCTGTAGCCCCAAAGTTGCGACACTTGTGCGCTTGGCTGACGTCAGTCGGTAAGCTTGATTCATCACAGTTGTCCTGAAACGGTAACTTGTCGCTCCGTGGGCTAGGATTAATGCAGTATCTTCAGAAGCATATTAGATTGCTGCTATTCATACTTTCATTGCTTTAAGTGATTCCCGAATAATACTTTGCTTGCCGTATATATATATATATATGTATATATATAGATAGAGAGCTGAACACATTGTTTGTACGACATTTTATGCGTAATGAGAAATGCTCTTGATCAGTGCACTATGATGCATCATATGGCATTGTTTCACTAAAAACAGGAATATTTTAAATGAATAGCGGGCTGTAGTCAAACATACCTATTCTGATAAGTGTTCACAACGGATTGTATTAAAAAAAGAACACGTGCGACGGGAGACCGCCGCAAAGCTATGCATCATATTACTTTCTCAAAGTGGAATGGCATTATGGCACTGTTCGGCAATATCATACAGTAAACAAAACAGTCGACCTGTCGATAATCTCTGCAAACTGAGTTATTAGAACCTTTCGTGTAATCATTAGTAGATAAACCTTTGAATTCTGCGGGATTGTTAAAGAAATGCAATAAAGGTGGAAATAGTCCGGTGGATGAAGACAAATGTTTACCTTGTACACATGCAGATATATATATAAATATACATTTATGTATAATCTAGTGATAAAGTTACTATTTTTTGTAAACTATATACATACGGACTATATGATTAGATAATATAGATGAGCTCAATAATCAGAATACAATTTTTGACATTGTGGGCAATCAAGAAAGAAGATATAAATAATGTTTGACTCGGCAATCGGGAGTTCAGCTAGGAATAATAACTCGAAATTTTGTGTTGCACAATAGGTACCGAGACTTGCAAAGGACGTGACACGAATGGTGTGGTTTATTGATTAAGACCTGAGTCCA